TATTCACAGCAAGGAAGGGATGTTGCTCCCAGGAAGGACCCAGTTTCCACACTGCAATCTCTCCTCGGACTCCTCCCTAAACTAATCGTCTCTGATCACCTATAGATCGTTTTCACTGTCATCGGCCAATAAAAGAATAAATCGAAAACCATTCAGTGGATTAAGTCAAAAAATTGTAATCTCATAGGAAATAAAAAAAAGAAGACACTTCTCCAAGTTTTAGGTCTGTGCGTTTTCCCAAACAACAGATATTCGTCGAAATGTTTCGCAGAAATTTACAGAGCCCAATATGGAAACGCCATATTGGTTCAGCTCTGTGGTGCACCAATCCCGGCGTATCTAATCGAACCCAATCGAAGACCAATCGTTCGATTGGGTTCGGTAATCGAATTAGTCAAACTAACACTAAAATTTGGTCAATCGAACAAAATCGAACAAAATCGAACGTTCTATTACCGCCGGAACGGTTGACAGTCGTACTCAATCAAACGTGCGATTACCGAACTCCTGTTTGTTTGATTTTTGTGTTTAAATATTAACACTGATAAAAAACAAAGTAATAAAAAATGTGCTTAAATATTACCCTGTTATCGAACAAGTGTATGTTATGCGGAAATTTTGTACGGTGAACCATCCCCCTAATGCCCCCAAATCTTTGTTACCGATTTGATAGGACGATTGTCACATCTGCATAATACCCCATAATAGCCACGTGGTCGGGGGAAATTTCTACTGAAGGTCGAATTACTGCTAGTTTTCAGTATTTCACCTGGCTCAAAACAGTTTCCAGCACTCCGGGGAGATTAGGGGGATGGTTCACCGTTACTTGCATAAACCAAAAACTGGCTTTAAATTGAGCGTTTTGAGCATCTTTTTTATATATAGTTTGGTTCTGAATATGGCATTCTGTAAATTGGTAATTAGCATTTGAAGAAGGAGCATGGCACGGTGTTTGGGTTGTGTTACCCAGAGAAAAAAAGAGACGACACGCAAGTAGTGCAGTCTACATCGACCGCGACAATCAAGAAAAACGCAATATTGAAATGCATCACTCGAGAACTTTATTTCTGTCGAAGACTATAGATCTCATCGTTAAAACTTGAGACATCTACTGTTTCCCATGTGTTATTCCCTTCTCCTTTTAACGCAGTCAGTCACTTGTTGAGCCATCATGCTGAAGAAATAATATAAAGCATTGTTAGCTTTTAGAATGATTAGCAGATCACTCCAATAAACTAAAAGAATTAACAGGCATATTGCACAACAAATTCAGCAAATTAAGTGTCTTCATAAAACTCGCTTGGCATTTGCTTCGCGATTGAAGTAATTAGGAAACAACAATTCTTCGAGTTCCATAAAACATCGTTGGATCCCTTATGTTTGTTAAACACTTAAAGAATCCACAACCTGTTTTTGTTTTTTTGTTTGTTCACGGTTCTTTTTCTTTCTTAAATGAATTCCTCCAAATGAATTCTGAGAGAAACGTTTCGATTTTGAACAAAGTTTTTTAAAAATCATTTTCGAAAACTGTTTCATTTGTCGCCATCGAACCATTCACTTTTATCTAAGTTAAGCAGTTCTTCTTTCTAGCAAAGGAGCTGTGACGTGGATTAAGGAAGACATGTCAAGTGAATTCGAGAGAAACCTCTTCGATCGAGTTGGGACAAATCAGGAAAGAAGTGCAAGAAAAATTGATTTTATGAAGAGTAAAATGAAAAGACCAACGACCACCTACTATTTTCCTTTTTGGTGGCTGCAACGCACAGTGACAAGTTAACATGAATTCCTTAATCTCAGCCACTTAAGCTCGTCACCCATCTTAAGAAGCGGCTTATATGTGGACTTTAAAAATATCGTGACAAAATCGCATTTTACTCAAACCGATAAATTGTTTTCTGCGGAGTTTTTGGGTGGAATTTTGGAACAAGTGAAACCTATTAAAGCAAATCACTTACCACAATTTCCCCATTTTCCTTTGTAAGTGGACTCCAGTGAACACCACAGTCTGTTGTGATCAGCTGTGGTACACGAACTGTACTTCACTCCTTTGTAAGTGAAAGGAATGCTGCAACACTGACCACCAGTTGTCTTGTGCAAACACTGGACTAGTATTTCACAGAAATAAAAGAGACGATAAGCCGATCAAACAACGCAGTTAATCTAACAATTTGAAACCAACAATTTGAAGCTCGTTTATTTTATAGCACAGTAACGTTCAGCTGTGCCATCTGGAAGTCGTGCCAAAGTAACGTGGTAAGGAAGGTTTTTGGAGGCATCTAATTACATGTCATCTTTCACTGTCAACTGCGTACACAATCAAGACCGAACTGAAAACGAACTGTAAACCAGGGGTTATAATGGAGCAAAAACTGGAATAAGAGTTAATTGTGAAGCGTTTTTTGGAATCTAACTTTCATCTTCTCTCATGTATCATGATCCACGGATTTCATTCGAAAGTAGCTTTTTTGAGGTGATTTTGTGAAAACGAATGAATGCGACGGAGGAAGCGAGAATGAAGACAATGAAGAAGAAGACGTCCTCAAATTTCCTTACGTGTATGTTACAAATCCTTGTTTACTTTATAATAGCAGATTTGCGCGTTGTCGCCATTTGACTAAAACTACCAGAATTCCTTTTGTTTTTTCTGCATTATGTAAATTTTAAAGTCCCAGTAGGGTTTAAATAACAATTGCCCTCATTAACATAAGAAACAGAGAAAGTGAAGGATTCTGGTAGTTGTAGTCAAATGACGCCATCGTGCAAATCACCCGTTGTTTTACGTAATCGAGCTATGGACTCTGCTTTGGAACACGTTGACTCACAGATTTCTAGCAGCAGATAAGAAATTGAAAAATAAAAATTAAAAAACTAGAGTGTTAAATACATACCACAATTTCCCCAATTTCCTTTGTAAGTGGAATCCAAGGAACACCACAGTCTGTTGTGATTAGCTGTGGTACAGGAATAGTGTTTGACTCCTTTGTAAGTGAAAGGAATGCTGCAACACTGGCCAGCTGTTGTCTTGTGGGAACACTCGACTTTTGGAACCACAAATGATTTCAGGAAAATGGAAGGAACGAGAAAAGGGTTAAGACAACTTAGCTATTTTGTTCATTTTTTACACTGCAGATATTAACTATGATCCAGTAGGTAAATTGAATTAAGTATCCATTGGTAAACAAGTATGCATATATCTTATTAGATGTTTTCGCGTGAAGTATCGCTGTCTATTTTCACGAGTTGTGCCGTATACAAATAACGAGTAAAAATATACACCAAAACATCTAATAAGAGATTTATTATCCAACTGCTATAGTCAATGAATTTATCAATGACAGAGGGACAGTATGACTGTTTTGCGTGCGCGCGCCGATCTGTACGGGAAACAGGTTTTCTACTGTACAAATACCTGTACAATATCGCTATATATTTGTACTGTTATTTGGACGGTATTCGCTGCATGTAGAATGCTCGAGCCACTGATTTGACATTAAGCAACAATTATTCCACCAGCGCGCACTGGATATGAGATGGTAGACGCCCGTGGCGCCAACTTGGCTATAATTATCTCATATCCAACAAGCACGAGGGAAATAATTTTATTAAAAACGCCACCAAAATATAGAAAACTAAAGTAAAATTTAAAAAAAAAAACGCCCTAAAAATTTCACGCGTGCGCTTAGTTTATTTGTAGAGCGTGGTATAATGGATCATAACCCATAATGGCTAAGCCAATGAAAATTCTCGAACTGCATTATCCAATGATCCAGGTTTTAATAATACGAGATATTCCTAATGTTCGAATAAAGAATTACGTTTGAAATTTACTGTTCACGAGTACTAGAGTAACGAAACTGACCAAAAAACGGCATATAATTGCTCGAAATATGGAAACTGAAAGCATGCTGTTTATAGACAGTGTTTCAATCGTGCGCCCTGGACTTTTTTGTACAAAATATTTCCCAGGAACATAAACGTAAGAACTCTATTTTGGAGAATCTTAACACCGGGATCAGGGTTTTATAACGGTACTAAAGCGCTGGGCTTGTTTAGTTCTGTGTTTTCTTAGCCAGGGTAGAGAAGCCCCGAGTAGCAGTACTTTGGCAATAGGTTTATCACAATGCAAATTTATTACTTACCACAGTTTCCCCATTTTCCCTTGTAGGTAGCGTCCAGTGAACACCACAACCTGTTGTGATTCGCTGTAGTACAGGAAGTGTAAGTCACTCCTTTGTAGGTGAAAGGTATGCTGCAGCATTGGCCATTCATCGTGTTTGACAAACATTCAACTTGTGTGGTGAACAGAGATGGGAGGAACAATGAAAACACAATGTTAGCTTAATCTACAAATTTAGTCTGTCATTCTTAAACTTCAAGTGGTTTAGTAGGTACGCAACTAAGGTATCGTATTCTGACGCCATAGCTTGATATTGCTGAACCGTGAATAACAATCGTAAATTGTAATCGGTGAAATAGAGTGTTTTCAGTTGAGCGTCGTAAAACTAAAACCAACGAAACCACTGCAGTCAATCACAAAGGACACATGCGATCCAGTGAAGAACTCAAAACTCGAGGCAAACACACGAAGGAGAGACGACGTGCGGGAGAATGTGTGCTAGTTAAAGTCACAATTGGTTTTGGTTTTACCTCTGATTGGATGACAAAGTGGCGCGACCCTTTTTAAGCCAATAGCTACGTGTAGTGACCTAAAAACTGAAAAACGGAGTGGAAACTGCATTGATTGAACGTGACTACGGCATAGAATGTTTTTCCTTTCTGAAATGTCCTGTGTGTCCTTTGCCAAAAACGTTTATCCGAAGTTAAAAACAATCTAGCTCTGTACTTACCACAAACACCCCATTTTCCATTGTAAGTCGAATCCAGTGAACACCACAGTCTGTTGTAATTAGCCGTGGTACAAGAATGGTGTTTAATTCCTTTATAGGTAAAAGGAATGCTGCAACATTTGCCATCCGTTGTCGGGTGGGAACAACGCTGAGAACCTTGAGATATCAATAAATTGTTTTAATGTCCGTTGACAAGTGTGAACTGTAGATACAGCGTGAGTAGGTAAGTAAGGAAGGATGGAAGGAAGAGAGTAACATTATTTTGACAGGGTGACCCATTCAGCGCAAAGGCAGGTTGGTGTCAATAAGGGCGCTGCATCTACAAAAATAGGCTGTATTGAAATTCAAAAAGATAAAATAGTGTAAGGGAGAGCAAATTTCTGTGTAAATTTGTCAGAAAATGGAAACGTAATAGCTCAACAAATTTATTTCATTTCTCTTTGCTAGTTCACGCAGTCGATTTTAATGCATTTCATAGTAATGATGATGAGAACTTTTTTAATGTGTGTACAAATACAGCTTAGATATGAGCACGCCTCTAACTGGGAACACCTAATCTAAATACAAGATAAAATATCATGAATCTTCAATAATGTCTATAAAGCCTCACTACGGTACTGGGCATGCTTACCAGCAGCCATGTTTGTGCTTGACATGAGTAGGATGTACATCAGAAAAAAGAGCAGCATCTTCCACAGTCTTCTTGAATTTTCCACAATCTTCTTGAGGCTAGCGACAAGTAAAACAAACCAAAACAGTGCAATTTTCCTGACTTATGTAAAATAAAATTCCTAACTGAAACTTTTAGCTGGCGACCGAGTGAGCAATAGGAAAGAAATCGATACTGCCTTATTTTTTGCAAATATAACCAATAAAATAAGTAACTGTGACATACCCGTTCAGTGCACAGGACAAAACGGTGACCTTACCGAGTGAGTGCAGTTACTATACGTTTATATAATTTTATATGGTGAAAACACGACAAACAACAGTCCATCGAGAGCAACACAACATTTAACTGAAACGTATCTCCTCTAAATGCAACTCATAATAATCTCCTTTAAGAAGGATCTCAATCTCACACTCGGGAACAATTTACAATTTTTCGTTCAACTAGTCTCCGGAGAGATCGTGCTGGTACTTTTACTAAGCGTTCCGAACGTGTTTGTTTGGCATTGAACAGTTCCATCTTACAAGCGGCCTTATCTGTTTTGGTAGTCTTTGGTGTCTGTTCTGTGGAACTCAGGTTTTGTGCTTTTCTGAACATGAACTGTACTTTGTATCTTTGTTTCTGTACATCAGATTGTGTGTTTGGGGCGTTGACTGGCTTTAGTGGCAAACGGTAAGGTAGTTCCAGACAAACTGATTTTGTTTTTGTTATTGGAGGCTTGATTCTAGTACCGAAATATCGTAAAACCCGTTTTCTAAATCGAGCTTAGTAAACTGATCCCCTGGGCGAACAATATGTCTGAGTTCCGTCAGTTCTGACTGTTCCAAACTTTGAGTACTGATGAATATGTTCACCCATTGTAGGCCCACTGTCAGCCGATGTCTTCCTCCAGCGTTGGACACAACATTTAGTGGTGAAACACAGATGGGGCGCTTCTGTACCTCCTTAGGCACTTGCAGCTCTAGGAGCTTTTGTATCTTGCTGTCCACAAAACAGTTCTCTTTCTTCCCGAGACGCTGAGTTGGTAGGACAAAAGGGAATCGACGTTTGAACGGGAGAAATGTGCACTCCTTCCTATGATCAAAGTATGACGTCCTGGCTCGTAAACTTTTATCTTTCCTACAGGTTTTGTCCCAAACAAGCAGGAAACGCTACGGACATCAGGACTGCTCATGTCCTGTCCACTGGGTCATCAGGAAATGGTCTGGTTCTGAAACGTTCGTAATTGCGCGAACTTCCCATAGTGAAACTCTGAGGGGATCTAGAAAATCTCGGAAAATTTGAGAACTGTTTACGGTATGATCCACGGGACCACCAGGGCTGTGAATCGACGCATTATACTTGGTCGAATTAAGGCATCTTTCGTCGCTTCAAGTAGAACAAATGCCACGAGCGGCAACAATAGTACTTGCGGGGGAGGCTTCTCTCCGGAGGAAACTAAACAACCCGGAGTCCTCCAAGCTAATGTTTTTGCAACGACGGGATCGCTGTATTGTTCACGTAGGTAACGGCACTGTTATAATACAATTTTCTCAATGTCCAAGGGCTTAACCTGCTCCTGATGTCTTAATAGCAATTTCAATAGAAGTTCAGAAAAGTGGTTTTGCACCTGTTCATTATAGAAGCCACCGGGCGATGCTCACTCGGCGCGCCTTGCTGGTTTATTGCAAACTAAATTTTCGGTAGCAGATTAATTTTTGCTGTAAGTCTACCGAAAGAGGTATCTGACATCTCCTTTGCCGTTTCAGGCGCTAGTGCTTCTCCACCGGTCTGAGCAAGTTCAAAGTGGATAGTTTAGCTGTAGGTGCAATGATTTCTTGGCGGGCGCAAAAAACCTTGCAAAATGGCGGTCAACTTTTGCATTTGCTTAACCCGACTATTTTCACATTCCGCGAGAGTTTGTAAGGATTATTCGATTATCTGGAACATATCCAGGATTTCTTGGGCCTCATGCAATGTCAAAGTGAAAACCTGTGTACCAGCACGGCTAAAAAGATGTGGAAATATGTCCTCGAAGCACGAGAAATCCAGGAGACGGACCGCTCCTTTCGTGCAGGATTTCTAACTGCGGCGCTTTCATTCTCATCGTGAGACGCGTTTCACAGCAGCAGTAGCAGCAGCAGTAGTAGCAGCAGCAGCAGTCGATAAATGAAGAAATAATCACAATTTCTGGCTCAGATATTCAGTAAAATACGAAAATTCCAGTGAACTTACTAGCATTTTTGGTGCGAATTCGGCCGATCAATATTTACGTCGAAATATATACTTACATTATCTCCGCTTAAATAATCTAAATACGCGTCACGGCAGACTAGTAGTTATTCGGGCAGTGTTTATTTTTTAAGCTCTTGATAATGCAAAACTTTACCGAAACGTGTCATTTCTTAACACAGCCTAGCGTAATGTCCTTGACGAGGGATCAAATTACCGGGGCCCCATCCTCTAACAAACATTGAAATTATTTTTTCTTCAGCTTTTTATTCAAATAAGCTTTAGTTAAATTTCAAAGGGCCAAATTTTCCTCATACTCCTTTTCTGACGACGCGGAGACATACTGCAGTATAGGAAATCAATAGTTTACCTCCTGAGTTGTAAAAGAGTCAATACTTCGTCAAAGAAGTTTCCAAATTTCACTGAAAGCGTTATGTTGTTACCTAGTTTGTAGTCCGTTTAGGTTTGCATTCTTTTCAAAGAATCACGGGATAGCTATGCGGTAGTTTAACGGCAATTAGAATCCCTCCAAAAAAAGAATGTCAGAATTCGGCTCCCTGAATTACATCATATAAAACGCCAAGTATGGCAAACGTTTTGCAAAAGCATCTGAAGTGGTTCAATTGTATGTCGTAGTTTCCCCCTTACCTTTGAGGTTGAATCCACACAATCGGAACAAACTTGTATAAGATTTGTTACCGCAGTTAGTATGAGCAGTAATTGTTAAAAACAGCCGCTATTTAAAATTCAAATTTGTTAACATGAAAATCTCGACTCGATAACTTGTTCATAAGGTCAGACAAACGCTGTCATCCAGAACAGTGACATGATATACAACGTCATAAGAATACATGAACTGATCACCAGGACAGGAAGCTGTCCCCGGACAGATTATCAAATTCTCCTCACCTGTAAAGAAATGTATAGAGACTATTAAAGAGAGAACTGTGTCGCGATTCGATTAAATATTTGTTTCTGATAAATGCGCAAGCCTTATATTGTCAGAATAGAGGCTTTCTTGACAAATGAATTATAATTTGCTTTCGAATCGTTGAACCGATTAATTCACTTTTATGATAATATTCTGGCTTGCAGTACATTTTATCTTTTTTTAGCACTAGGCAAAAGGAAAACACATGCAAAAACATTTGCTGCCTTAAAACGCCAACTATGAAAGGAAATCTGTTATAATCTAATCTAGCCGCAGCAACCTGTTCCTCAGAAGAACGCAAGCACTTTATTGAAACTGTTTACATTTGGTAGCTTTGATCGGTCATGAATTGTTTCGACTAGAAAAATTTGTCTTTCTTTCCGATACGCATCAAGAAAGGTTTTCCACTTATTAACCAAAATATACTTCAGTTCCTCTACTGGCTTATGCCTTAGGGCGGTCGACAAACATCGCTATAAAATTGAGAAAGCCTCATTATTTGTTATCTTTTTTATCTTAAAATCTTCACGAAAGTAACACAAACCTTAAAATAATTATTAAGAAGTGAAGAACGTGTCAACATTAAACCGATCTATTACAAACCGCCGTAGGTAGTTTATATGAGGTGTGATATAATTTTGGTTCCTTTTTTGTTGGCTGGTTAATAACTTTAATAACAACAAATTTTTTAAGTGTCAATCAGAGTTAGCATTGCTGCTAATTGGGGACAACTAAAACGAGTTACAATTATCAAGACTATGTACAAATTAAACTTTTAGACGTTAATAAAATGTTGTTTCGGTTGGTATCGCATACAAAAGGTTTTCTCTATGACATTTACATGGATTTGCTTCATCAGCAACTAAAATATCATGTAAGTTGCTCTTCGTTTCCTTCTTTGTTTTGAATGATTTTTATTCCCTCCTTGTGCGTTATTTAAAGATACGCGTCAAATTTGCTTGGAGGGGGGAGGGGAACCTTAACCTACTACGCGGCAGTTAAATGGGTCTATCTAGTTGCTTTTGCAAAATGGCTAGAAGAAGGCCTACAAGGTAATTTTTGACCTTGATCTTCCAAAAAGCAACCGTTAATATCTAACAACAACACATTCAGAAGCGGGCTTCATTATTTGTTCTGATGTCATAAAAGTAAAGGATATTCTTGTCACTAAGAGAAAATAAAGCATAATCTGACATAAAATGCAGAGTTGAGATGTTGACTAACTTTAATATGCCCAAAGACGTGGAAAGTCCAAAGTTTAATTGATGTAGATTGGAAGCGCCGAAGGCTGTAAATTTTATACAATCACGGAAACAAATAAAGGGTAAAGAACTTCCTGTTTTAATGAAACCCAAGCAGAAATAAGTCACAACTTCAAGAAATCAGCGCAACGTTAACGTTAACACAGTATCAAGTTTCAAACTTCGTTGATGAAAGGGATAGTTACACCGTTCGGCGTATTTGCGAGCTTTGGCGTCAGCGTAAGGTACGTTTTTTGCTTTCGTACTGAACTACAAGCGGTTGAGCAATCAGAGACAAAAATTTGAATGTAGTATTTCGAATTTATTCAACAAAAACACAAGTTATCTGTTCGCATCCGATTGGTTTGCAAAAAATGAAATTGAGTAGTCCACAAGAGTGAGAACGAACAAGCAGAATTGTTATGACAAATATCACCTCTTTCGCGGCGTTCGCATTCGCTTGCTTCGTACAATCGACTGGACAGACGTTATGGCTTGTACGTAATCATCTTTTTGATGAATATGAACAAAGGTCGTGTTCTATTGGTATCAACCATTTCAACCGTAACCGGTTTTGGTTGATACGGTTGACGTTTCTCAATAGAACACTTTTCCAACCGTTTTCGGTTGAAACGCGGAAGCTCCTGGGAATAGTCCTTACGCGGGCTACAATCACGCGACATAATCACGCAAATGCTTTTCAACCGTTTCAACCTGGTTTCAGTCCGGTTGAAAAAGTTGATCAACTAAACCAACCGAAAACGGTTTTTCCCCGGTAGAAACACGAAAAATCCCAACCAGCCCAACCAACCAGGAACGGTTGATGACAATAGAACACGACCAAAGGTTTAGCTTCTGAAGAAACTGTTGGGTTGCGCCGGAAGGCAAGTGAACTTCTTAGGTAAATGAACCACCAAGGCCAGTTGGTGACGGTGAGGTTTCGAGCGTCAGCCCTTAGTCAGAATTAGCGCTTGAAATGTTTGGTCCGCTGAGGGCCTGTTCACAAGGTGAGAGGGTTATCCTAGCAAACGGGTTACCAAAGCACTCGCATATTTCCTCTATTTTTCTTCGTCGCGTTTACGAGGCAGCCAGAGTTCCCCGGGTAGGCGGGCGTGCTAGGGTTACCCTGGCAGTCGAGTTGACTTTTTCCCTTGTAAACACTCCAGGTAGGGTTAACCCGCCTAGCAGGGTTAACTTTGTAATTGTTTCCAGACCCTTTGAGTGTAACCGCGTATAAAGTTGTCCCGGGTTGTAGGGTTAACCTACCTGTGAAATTTTGCTTTTAAACCCGGGCTATCTTTCGCCCTCCAGCTAGGGTTAACTCACTTGCTAGGATAACCCTGCCTCCTTGTAAACAGGCCTTAAGTCTCCAAGGCGGCTTATTTACGTTTGTAAACATCAAGTTGATAAAGAACTAAGTCTTTGAGTAATGTGCAAGGATCTTACCAAGAATATCAGTAAAAAGCACAACACATCACAAGCGTCCCAAAAGCACGTCTCGAGAAAAGCGAAAAATTAATTCTCGGACACGAAAATGTTTATTCCTGAGACTTGAAAGGGTTGCCTTGGAAATTAAGGTCAAAATGGACTTAACGATTAAGACATTTTGACTTCATTTGCGTGCATTAAATGGTTTCTCGTTTTGTAAAAAGTGTTGGGAAATGTAAAGGAAGAGTAGGGAAACATTGGGTGAGTGAACTGGAGCATAGGTTAACTAAATACCCGGGACTAAATACTACCATTCTTTGACATATGAGACCTAAGGTAAGTATTGTACTCTGCTCTTCTTTCTCTTCCTTTCTTCTCTTTTTTGGTCTCACCTTACAAGTAAAGTGCCACAATTACTTTTCTGGGAAAAATCAATACTAACTCTATTAGCTCAAAAAACACAGTGAGTGTATTAATTGATTAAAAAGTGCTTTAATGGTGAAATGCAGGAAGTCATGGCCAGAATCAGTCATGCCGAAATTAAAAGACTGTACGGGAATTTTGCAAGTAGTACAAATTTCATACGCATGGCGAAGTGATTCAACGATAACTTTCAAAAGTTTTGCAAATGGAATAAAGGTCGATTCCAGAAATTCTGCATCTGAGAATTATGAAATGTATTCAAAATTGATCAGCCTAACTCAGCTGTGGTCATTACTGCGTCCTCCACAGATCGTGGAAAGCACTGAAAGCGCTTAAAACTTCCTTCCAAACTCAAGCGGAAACGGAATCAGCGAAACATTTTGCAAAGAAAAAAAGATCAAGCATCTATATATCGCGAAAAACTTCTGGTCGTATTTTTCCTTGCAAATTTCCATGCAAATGTTGAATGAATCGATAATTTTGCTTAATATTGATTTTAAACTATTTATAATATTCCTGCTAGTGTTCCGAGTTTTCTAGTTCTGTACGGGTCCGCAAATGATCGCAGGACCGCAAATGATCCCCAAATTGAACCGCAAATGATCCCGGACCGANTGAAAATAACACCATTAATTTTATTAACGTAATTTTGTACATCAATGCAAAATTAATTTACTAACTCATCTACTCATATATTTTCAGATCCCTGGGTCAAACTGAATTCCTATCCTGTATGTTTTGGCGCAGGTATAACACGTTTGGCAGTTTCAGCGTCCCTTACGGTAGCAAGATAGCCGCTGTAAAATTGGTCCACCTAAGCGGTTACGTGACCTGCGATAAGAGAATATTTTCCTACTGGTCGTTCTGGGGCTGTGGTAAAAGGCCTGCAGTAAAATATCGCGTCGGTGTAGTCATAACAACTATTAGCGGTGTTATTATTACGCCAGAAAGGCCGTTCCTTAAGAAAGATCCTGGAAAGTTTTCTGAGTCACCGAGATATAAATCGTTTTCTCCTTGGTGTTCTCGGGCCAAGGGTTGCGACTGTGGTATGGTGAGGATTTGGTGGGTCACACTGAAAGCGACCATGGAGGACAGGTCTGTACGGGTCCGCAAATGATCCCAGGACCGCAAATGATCCCGGACCGCAAATGATCCCCAAATTGAACCGCAAATGATCCCGGACCGGAAATGATCCCCGTATTGGACCGCAAATGATCCCGATCAAAAAATAAGGAATGGCATGGATTTATATCAGAGGAAGGTGAGAACATGTACAAAAATTATGAACTAAAAATCATGTTTTGTCATTTTTGCAAAAAAATATTCCACAGTTGCTGTTTTGTTCTTCGAACGGTACAGATCGTTTTCACTGTCACGCAATAAAAAAAATAATAAATCGAAAA